TCGTACATTTTCCTCATGTTTCGGGCGTAGGTCCATGCCGAAAGCACCCGCAAGATCGTAACATTTTGCAAAATCAGTTGTATTGGGAACTAGGGTAATTGGGCGCGGTAAAGAGCTCGAACAATAATTCTATAACAAGTTCAATCGTTTACCTCGTTTACACACGACGCATGTAACTTCACCAGTCTCTCCTTCATTAATTTTCAACCTTGTTTGAGTACCGGAATACATTTTATAATCTCTGGAATTTACCCAAGGACGATTTCTGGGTGGTAGTTGTGGTTGTGTCACTTGACGTCAAGTCCGCCACATTGGTCATCTAATTGTCACAGTTATTGAACGAGTCTGCCAGTGCTGACGTATCGTGAGAAAATTACGAGGCGCACCAAAACTAGACTAAAGCCTCGTTAAATCTTTAGTCATTCAAAATATATTCAGTTTGTCTGTCAACGTCTGATGTGGAGAATTCATTCATCGAGGGTGATGTGTTGAATTACAGGTATAAGTTCACAAAGTACGGTAATCAGCTGTGAAGCTATAACAAGTGCAAAGAAGGAAGTGTAAATTATCTCGTCATTGTCTATAAAATAGGGGCACTTCCCTGATGAAATAAATCTATTGAATTGCATGGTTGCCCTAATGGCAGGCAAGTTTAATAATTCTTGAACAAAATCAGTTACTATTTTTATCGCGCCCCTTGACCCGCAACTTCCTTAGTTATCGGGCGGAAACTTGTCACGTGATGGAAACAATGTTTGCGACGTGGACACAATTATGTCTTTAATAATATATACAAGAGCCGGGAAAATAAACATTTGGCATAACAACAGTTGCTGTCGTCGAGCGTACATATATTATGATTGCCATGAATAGCCTAAACAATAAATTCTTGACTGGCCTTACTTGTACCATTACAATAGTTTTATTTTATAATTTAACAATGAGACAGATTTTATTGGAGAGAAGAGTTGAATTATACCGAAAACTTGCGAAACGTCTTGCTGTAAAATGTGCCAGACATGTAACTGTGGTATATTGGAGCAAATCCAATAATTGCGTGTTTGTGATGTAATGAAGACATTTCTTAAACACATTTACGTGCGCATCGAATTTCTTGGCCAGGGTTCAGGTTATTCTCGTGGGCAGTTAATATGGCGTCAATGAAAAATTATCGGGTCGTAACTCCTGTTGGCTAGTGAAAGACCATTTTAATAGAATTGCTGTCTGGTGTATTTACGTTTATGTATATTGTCTTATGAACTTATGGACGTTAGTGTCTGATAAATAAGACCTGGTTAAAGTGCATGTACATAATTCATGATATGAAAAATGAAATCTGGGTTGAAAATTGGAGTGATTTTTTTTTTCTGTCGTTAATTTTCTCTTTAATTCAACCTTTGATTCTGTACATTCCAAATGTAGACCATATTAACGACTTTTCATTCTCCTACAATTTCATTCACCCCAATCCAACCTATCTGAACTTTTGTCTTGCTCAATAAACAGGTTAGCAGTTGTACTGGATAACAATTATTTATAAAATAGATAAGTAATCAGGGATTATGATTGAGCTGAGCTGAGCTGAGCTGAGCTGAGAAGCACATGGTAACCATGGGTAATGAATATTGCAGCTTATAAATTTGAACACTATGTAACTCATGCCAGTGGTCGTTGCTGTACATTCATATAATCACGCGACCAACTGCAATTAAATTGGAAGTGTAACAATTAAATAACAGTCTAGAAGTTTCGTTTTTAATAATGTTAAATATTTAATTCTGCTGTATTGGGTATACTTTGAATCGCTATGCGTCAAGATGGTGGCTGGGATATAAAAACGTTCATAATAATAGTTAGACATGTTTGCTAGGAAAGATCGGCTGAGTATATTAGATTGGAAATTAGATGTGGGTAACGTGTACGCGTGCATATGCTGATAACACAGGAAGAATGATGTTTCTCAGTTCTTGCACCGTACTGATTGAATAGTGATACAATTGTTATTACACTGTTTTCAATTGGCTATCTATGCGAAAGATTTTAAAACGTCGTTCGTCGAAACCTCCCTTTTAAGTAAACAAGTTAAACAATTGATTCTTTATAAACGCACGTATATATCAGTTTGTTTGCGTCTATAATCGCAGCAGTTCAGCAAACTCTTATGAAAACTCGTAATTCAAAGTAATCGTATTATTGAGAGATGTCCTTACATTTTTATGACGCACCTTCGACACCATGAAAAGAACTTAAAGGAAGCGACTATGACGTTGACACTATTATATACGTAATTCATAAATTTGGTGGAAATCTGATGTGTGGACAATCTGCTCTATAACCATTTATAAAACTGTTACACAACAAGCAGACGCGACGATCACTTAATCACTTAAGTAGTTATGTTCAAGTTATGACGTCATAATTTTCGTAATGACACAATTTATGGAGAGTGGGCCAGGTCAACACATGTTGATGTCGTAAAATTGCCTCCTTGCTCCTTTTGTCAGTACTTATTGTATCTCTGCTAAAAGAGGAAGCTGCCAATGCCAGGGATTACACCAGTGAACTATGGGATACCGTCGCCTGACGTAGCTATACCCCAGTTAAACAGCAAAATGGTTCCAAATAGTACAAGTTGGTTAATGGACTCATGGTTTTAGCTCCAGATCCTGATTTACATTCTGCGCACAGTTACTCAGGATTTTGGGTACTCCAATATGCATGCTGATGCTTCTGTAGCAATTAGAAATTACCCCAAAGCAATAAGATTATCGCTAATTATATTATTATTTCGTACATACATGGCAATTGAGGGTGATCAAGTCTAAAATGTGCATGCACAAGGGTTAACAACTTCAATCAGATTTCACGACAAAGTGGTTATAGTAATTTGTTGAGCTCAGCTGCAATTATTGTAGTTGCTCCCCACCAAGAATACCCGTAATAGACAAATCATTATTTTCAAAGTGGAGCTGACATGGTCGATGCTACATTTATTTCTAGAGTGCTGTGGACATTTTTAGCTCCGCTGTCGACTTTGTCGAGCGGAGCTTATCATATGAGTGATTGTCCGTCGTCGTCCGTGTCAATGTTGTACTTGTTCGACTTCTTGAAAACTACAAGCCTGAATGCTTTGATACTTGGTGTATATGTATCTTGGGTAGACCTCTCATGGGTTTGCTCATTTCATGTTGATATCTTCAATTCTCTAATTTTGGTGAATATTTTTAGTAAAAAGTGATATTCAATTCTCTAATTTTTGTGTATATTTTTGTCATTTTTGGTAAAAAGTGATATTTTTGACTTCTTGATAAAAACCACAAGTCCGATTGCTTTGATATTACATATATAGGTACTACATGTGGACCTCTCAGATTTGTTCATTTTGTGATGATATCTTCAATTCTCTAATTTTGGGGAATATTTTTTGTAATTTTTGGTAAAAAGTGATATTTTCGACTTCTTGTTAAAAACTGTAAGTCCGATTGCTTTGATACTATACATATTGTTCATTTTCTAATGATGTCTCCAGTTCTTTAATTGAAATGTGCATTGCTAACAGCGGAGCTATCTTTTTTTATCAAAAACTTTCTATAATTGTTAGAATAGAAACATCAGGTTATTCTGTCATTTCAGGTATCTATAACTAGAATCCACATGAAAGTGTGGCCGAAATTGTCTTTAGCGTATATTTGCGTAATTTTAAGTAAATAATGGGCCGCAGACCGTCTGATATAAGAGACACAATTTCTCTGTTTTCAATAATACACATATACTAAGGCAAAGTCGGTTATGGAATAAAGTCGCAACGTGTTTTAGCACTCCCAAATCTGCGTCTAAGTTGGTTCGTGTATTTTAAGTGACCGTGGTCGACAGCGTAGGTCGATTGAACAGGAAATCGCTCACTCAAAACCAATGATTTGACAGGGGAACTTTCGTCGCTTGTGGGGACGTGATTTTCGACAAAATAAAAACAACTTCAATCATGCATGATCTGCTTTAGACACCTGTAAAGCAAAATTGTCAAACATTGATCTCTATGCTCAAATTGAAACGTAACGTATGCCTCAAAACCTTCGACAGACAAATTTTATGTGGTATGTGGAAGACGAATTTTAAATTATACGAGTAACGTCTGGTCGATGATATGCTTGATATAAGCATTATGGCATAGTTAATTATTCGGAGTGCACGACAGTAAATCGAACCCTTCTTGCCTATTTGTAACGTGCAGAGGGTATTTTACAAAAGCTTGGGACATGTCAAATCTGATGTCAGCCTCTGGGGTCAAACTACTACTGAAGTTAATTATTGGTAAGCTGATTCGATTTGGTTTTAACAAAGATACACATAATGTATATGACACTTGTAGTGTTTTTATTTTATTTTATTTCATTGGGGCACTGTACAAGTTGAATTTGATGAGGTCGATCTATCCAAATGAATCCTGAGCATTTAGCTGAAATTGTATCACATTTATATATCGTATGGCAAACGAATGGAATTTGGAAAGTATAGCTGAATTCATTTAGTCCTAGCTGTAGTAGTAATAATCATTTTAAACTGATTAAGTGTGTGTGTGTGTGTGTGCGCGTGTTATTCACAACCACGAAAGTGTAAAGGTGGTTAATTTCATCAATGCAATTTTCAAGCAATCACTTTTTTTGTTGAAAGATGTAAACAAAACGATGTGTCATAACTTTCTAGTGTCAAATCGCCTATTGACTACTGTAAGTTGTTGGTGACCAGTCAATCATTACGGTGATCGGAAAGTGATAGTCTGTCGACATTGACGAACATATAGAGATCGCTGTGGATCAGTATAGATAGTGTATATCAAATTTGTCAAATACTGTTGTCCCTCCGCAGACTTGTCAGCATTATCTAATTGCAAACACGGTAACTGTTATTTTACTTGTATATTTCATGAAATATGATTAAAAGATATGGCATACAATAAAACGATATTATTAGCAAATGCTCTACTTAAAACTCTGAGTGATATGCGCTGGCTAAACTGCAGTAACTTTCAAACATTGTATTGTTTGTGCATGTGTATGCTTGTATTGAAAGATAATTATCTTTGAATTAGCTCATAAATCTGCCCCGTTTGGTTATTGGAATGGCGGCATTTTCTGGGAAGAGAATGAGGCACACTCTCAGATAAGTTAGTCTCTATTTGTGATGCGAGGACAATTCACTGTTGAGTCCTGGTCCAAAATACCTCGTATCGCATAATTATGTTAACATTATCACAAGATGTGATGATGCAATTATTAAAAACTAAGTTGCTATTTTGTTTCTAAATTAACACTCGTGTAACAATTTTCAAGCAAATTGACTTATTTTCCATTCACACGTAACTGATCTAATGCCCAGAAAATTGACAAAAATTGATACCTTTTACACAAAATGTCAAAAGAGTATAATCCTCTCACCTGCCGTACTTCTGTTTTCCGCCACAATATCGTACATGTTAGTACTTTCTGATGATTGTTATTTTTTTAGTCAACGTGCGATGCATTGTTACAGTAGTCCTTTAATTTAAAATACTCTTGCTGCAATTCGAAACCATTTCATATTTTGTGACAAAAAATAAGACTGAATTTAGTTTCATATAAATATATATCTTTTCTCCGCGTGTATCAGTACATCCAGCGGGTTTTGGTGTCTAATTGGCGTGTAGCTAAAATATGATATCGCTCTCGGCCATTCCAACTGGGAAATTAAGTAACCCAAATATAACATTAGGTCATTGATCACATCCAAGCTCAGTAACTGTTCACGCTCGTGCTCGGCGTATCATTTCGGGGACCATTGAAGAGTGATACCCACAGAAACGATTTGTTCATAAATGTATACAACTTAGTTATACACAGGTTTTTTCGTGGCTAACTTTGGCCAAAATGAAAAATTATACAAAATATGAATTAATAGATATCATCTCGTGAAATGACTTGGTATGTGCAATGGGATGATGATATACAGTTACTCTAATGTAATATTGATAGTTGTGTGTAAATAATTTGCGAATAAAGCGATTAACAAAATTTGTTTCCGCGCACTGCCATTCATAACTATAGTATGAATAGAACACCATGCTATTACATCTCGCATAGTTTTGTTTCAGCAAAGCATTGAATTTGATTCTAAGTCACCAAAACTGATAAAATAGCAAATATGGTATCGTCGAGTGATTGCAAAATACAGCTCTATTTTAAATATAATTATTCATTTCGGGACGTTGATCCATCATCAACAGAATAACTATGTATTTTAATATTCAGATTGATGTTGTAAATATCACGACTCTGTCCTCCAGTTCTCCCGTGCTATAATGTTAACCTCCAGAAACGTCTGAAAATTTAACGACGTGCAAAACTACCAAAATTAAAACGTGAGCGAATGGTAACACTCGTTCGTATCCATGCCAACCAGTGATAATTTAGAGGGAAATGTGATGCTTATCGCGAACGTTCCATTGCCTGGGGTTTTCGTATAATTCAGTCGGTCACAATGTTTTTCAATCATTTGGCAATGAAAATGGCACTTTTATCTCTAATCTATATTAGACTTTGCGTTGCTGTAGACGCGACGGAGGCAGCTGCACTGAAAATATCAGCTCTAACAATAATTCTCGCCTCTCGTCAGAACACGTCACTTAATATAGAAGACAAACGATTCCTGATTATTGACATGGTATTAATACAGCTTTAATCGTGTGATCGAGCGACTGTGCGTCATCATCGAATATAATGATTGGTGCCGCCAGTGAAAGCTTCTTTGCTAGGTGACCTATTTGTGTGTGTACCGAAACTGGTGATTCTCCACACGTAATCATCACGTACATTGTCTTGCAATACACGTATCTCACTTCATTCTCTGTATCCCACTGTGAAACGATCACGTTGTCTTGCATGTGATAACTTCCAGCCAAGCGACCAATGTATCACTGTAATTGTGTTTGGCGCTACATCATCATGGACACTTATTGGTAATTCGTATGCTGAACGAAAACAAACACCAATACATATGGAAAAGATATGACTTCCCCCAAATGAAACCTACGAGCAAAATAGTCTTACGCAATCACACCTATTGATAAAATATACTCTCGAAACTGATTTTGACGTATATATATAATGCCTAACTTGCATTTGCCCCAGATGAACCCTGGATCAACCATGGTGAACTAACCTGACGTACATTGTAGTTAGAATCAAAGTAAATGAAGGGCGGGAAGGGGAATTTTTATCTCGCATTTTACACAATTGCCGTTATTATGCTATCTGTCAGGGAGAAGAATGGAATGTTGACCTTCGTCATACAGTCAGTAAGACTATGTTAGGGATAAGGAATAGCTTGGACATTTAATGTGACCTGGATACGAGTACGCCGTAACATAAATATAGTGATCAATTAGAAAACACCGAGCCAATGTTTTGTCTGACAGGACACTGATGTCACAAGAGGTAAAATTATAAGAAAAAATAATATGATGTGATATGAATTTTATTCAGTACAATTTGAAATTTGAAGTACAGATAAGTTGTCAAACTGCATTAAACGAAGACATTTTTCTGATTTGACTGATAAAATGTAGGTCAATATTTGTTTCTAAGATTTGCAAAAAACAATATCATGAACAGTAATTATGACAACCTTTTCCGTAGTAGTATCCACTCAGACTAAATGGGTAAGATAATGAGGCTCAGAGTCTACATAGAGATAAAACTTCGACTTTAAAGATCCACAGAAAATACATATATGAACATGCTTTTTTGGGGGGCGTAGTGTAATGAGCCATGCACTACTTTTATTCTAAAGATATGTTCATAGTTGGACCTTTATAGGATCCCATTCAATAGAATTGGATTCAAAAGTGGCGACTATTCTGGTTTAACAACTGTTGTTTCAGAACTATATCTCTGACATTGCAATGACCAATCACACTCAAACTTGACACATCACACATTCACGTCATATGTATGCACCCATTACCCAATTCATTTCAACATAGCCCACTGGCTGTTATTCTAGTGATATACGCATAGAAATCAAGTATTTCTGCCATACTGGAATCGGATCATAGTCTCATATACTTAGTTCATTTGACATCACAGTGATACGAGCTTGATGCACATCACATTGTTTCACGGATCTGTTTGAATCTAGCCGACTGGAGTTCGTTTTGTTTTAGCGAATCATGATCCTCATCCATATCTCTGGCACGCATTTCTGTCATGTTGATGACTTATTTGATATAACTTTTTTTTTTTTTTCATTTTATTGTGATTGTGTGTTTTTTTACATATATAATATATATTAAATTGTCGTTAGTTCAGTAAACAAAATTGATACATATCATATCTGAATATATTCTTTGAATACGTTTGCAGTGTTCTTGTGTGTGATGTAATTCCTGGCTATATTTCCCGTGCCACGGGAGGCTACATATGGTTGTTCTCTATATACAAGAAATCAACCACTTTTCAAAACCGAATTAAGATATAACGTCAATTAGTTAAAACCATGTAACAAGTTCAAATGTGATATGAATAAACTTGACAACAGTCAGCTTTACTGGTTAGATTGATTTTTAATTAATAATAATTAATAATAATTTCAATAATAATTAGGTCAACCTAATTTACAAAACCTCATTATGTGATGTCGATATTTTGTATCAAATTTAAGTAAACATAAATGTTCATTGTGGTGATCATTGCCATTTTCAATAGCTGATTTGTTAGTGGAATGAAGTCTATGAAAACACGCTGAATACTTCTTAGCACGAGGAGTTCTAAATCTGACGGAACGCTAGACTCGTCGGGGCATAAAGATCGGAAAGTCCACACTGCGTCGTCGGAGCATCAATACCAAGGATTACAAACAAAATAGTGTAATAATGCTGTCTATTACATCGGTGACACTATGAATGATTAATCAATATTTATATACATAGTACACGGCTTTCAGATTTAAAAACTACAATTGCTAAATATAATTACGTATTTAAATATGGATACTTAGTCGTGGGTTCTGTTTATCTATCTGCCAAAAGCTAAACACAAACTCATTTAGTTACCCATTTAAGTATTAGTATTCTTAGGCTATTGTCTCACAAAAGTTTGTGTGCATGTATTCAGCAAGTGCTAGACTACAGTTGTAAATCGGTGCAAAGTAATAAATCATCTTCGTGGCCTGCACAGAAACACTCGTCACAAAGACGTTCGCTTAGCAATTTATATAAATCATAATCATTGTGTATAATTGTGTATTGTAGAGTTGTGTGCGTATTTGCTGAAGTGTAAATCTCTCATGTTGCTCCTCCGTGTGCTATAATAGTGTTGTGTTACGAATGGTGACGTATTTATGCAGCTTATAGTGGGAAATACAATACCACGTACTGTGATATTGTAGTGATGTAATACACTCTTGAATGACGTAACGTCGCACAAATCTATATACGAATCTATATCCAATTACATTCGGTATTCACATAGTACCATACGCATAGAGTCTAACAAATAACCTATTGTCTACCAGAGGTAGGTGTCTAATAATCCGCAATCAGTTAAATATCTTGGTGTGTATTATGTAAAATAAGCAACACGGGTTGGCTACTTTTTTATCACCGTTCTTTAGGGGCTGTGCAACACCCAATTGGTATATTCTGAGGTGTCTACACAATCTTGACAGCACGCATAACAGATTTGCATGAATTGAAGAAAACCAAATACTCCAGTCGTTATATGGGATTATAAAATCAGTTACAACATATTTGTCCTGAGTTACTTGTTCAGGTCCTCGCATATGACATGCATAATTAAACACTGAGAGATGATCGTTTTGAATACACCATTGTATTGACACCAGAATTACTCAATGGTACATTTAGCATGCAAATATGACTTTATCCACTTGTGCACGTTTTTATTTCCATTGGGAAATCAAACATTCAACTTTTCAAAAATATATATTGAATGGGAATTATTCAACATAATTTTGCTGTGCTGAATTGTAATCAATTCACAACGATTAAAAAACAGTTCATTGAACAACATCGTTCGGCATCCTTATTTTGGAATGATATTCTAAAACGTATCTTGCGCCTCATCATTACCTGAGTTTTTCACGTTCAAACTAACATATAAGGTAAATTAAATGTTATTGTTAGTTTTGATAATTGTTTTCGGAAATCACTTGCCTACATCTTACATCACATTAACATTCGCCACATAATCGGCAAAGACGTAAGCATTGGCATCTTAAATGAAATACGAGTAAAACTATGTGAACTCGTTAGCACATATACTCAATCAAGGTTATTTAAATACATGCGGATTACTGCTGCTTCACTGCATGATTTTTTGGAATACGTTCTGTGTTATGAGTATTCTTTCTAACTTCTTACTTGTTTACGTATTGCCCATTAGCATTAGAGCACAACAGTTGTTATCCTTCATTAGGTGTGTTACTGCGTTCACAGGTCTTAAATGTGTATAAAGTAAATTTAACTGACAGCTAAGATCTCTTAGTAATATAATGCTTGGGCTAGTTCATATTTCCACTTGGTTAGATATTTCATTACAGTCGCCTAACTTCAACATATTAACATTTACATAATAAACATTGTTATTGTTTATTAATTGACTATAATGCTACAGTAGTTTGGGCTATTAATAACTTACTCGTAAATACAGTCTCGTATGTATACCCCCCAAAACATAGTCAACTTAATCAGTTAATATTTTCTCTTTCAGGTATTCATGAATTTCCTCCAGATTACTTTACAAATAGACAAAGGGAAAAGGGTGCATTGGCTCTCCATGCATTGTGTGTAAGTGTTATGTTTTTTATTTTTTTAATCGCAAATTGTCTCCGTTATTTTTTCTTCCAGTATGTAACAATATATTGGATTATGAATATCAATTGTTTGCATGTTGCATTATGTTTTCGCATCACTGATTATTATGATTGAGTATTTCAATTAGATAACATTACTGATGTTTCAACCAGATAAACTGTTGATAAACCTGATAATCAGTCACTATGGTATCCAGACTGTTAAGTTTGTAATATATGTGACTAATGATTGTCCGTGATTCATGCATAAAAATGTTTAAATTTGTGTGGCAATTGGTTTGTGCAATATTACTAAAGCAGAATTCTCTTTGAACGAAGTATTCTAATTTTGAATATCAAACTTTGAATATGAATATATACATACATATTAACCATACTAGTTAAATCAGTGAATGTCAGAACGTTTCTGAATGATGATAGTTGCAAATCGTCTGTAGTACCACTTTATATAAAAGAACTCATTCTTGTTCTTTGTAGGTTGTTTATATGTTTGTTGCCCTGGCTTTAATATGTGATGATTATTTCGTGCCTTCTCTGGAGAAGATTTGCCTGGTAAGAAGTCCAATAATTAATCGTTATTTAGTTTTGATTTATGTTGCATACAACAATAAGTACATGATATTAATACTTATTTAATTGGGTGTGCATTAAATAATTCAATATAATACATATATTAAATATAAAACCAATAGTAACTAAATCAATAATCACCTACCTTATCAGGTGATTATTTCCGAGTTCAACTAATATAGTATTAAATATATCAAAAATACATGACACATATAAAATATATATCCAAATAAATTATTGCAAATCGTCATACATATTTAATAGTTGTCAGTGCGTCTTATTTTGTGTTTAATTTGCATGGGTAATAATTTCTGCAGTCTAAAATATCGTATTCAATATGGTTGAATGTGATGCTTATTCGTGTAGTTTTAAAATGAAGCTTATACATTTTATTATGTTATCACAACATCTACAATAAGTGAAAATAATGTAGAATGCAAAATTCAATTACTTGTGCAGCCCGTAATTGGTGTGAATTAATCCAATACACAATCATGTGAATGCGACTAATACAAAAACAAATTGTTATGCGATTAAAATCTGCTTAATTGTTCTAAAATACTTTGGCGTTTCAGTTGAGATGCTGAACATATTTAGTAGTTTATGCAACTGTCTATTGATAAAACAACTGAATCCTGATGATAGTAATGCTATTTTGATTAACATTTAATGCAGATTAATAACAAACCCTATTCCTGTCAAATTAGATTAGATTGTCATTGCTGATTGCCTCCCTCATTTGTATCTAGAGCAGGTAATGGCCAAGTATGCTGATTGCAAATAAGTGATTAACACTTTGACCTTTAACCCTTTGAGCACCGAAGTCAGCTTTACAAAATTGTTTCTATATTTTTGTCCAAAACGAGTAAATAAGACCTGTGAGCAATGGTAAATTATGTTCACTTTGTTCAAAATTAACAAAGAAATTATTCAGAAATACATAAAATTCTGTAACATGTTTTATCTTCACCAAAATTATGGTGGAAAAAAGTATGGCATTCGAAGTATAATTGATGAAACGAAAAGTGGTGACAGAAAGGTTAATTATGCAAAAAAACATGTTATAAAGGTTTCTAATTTTACATGCTACACATTTTGAGACAAGCATGATGCTGAGTATAATTGTTTAAGCGCTACAGTCGTCACTCATCGAGTGTTCCAATTTTATGTAAACATTGTATTTTATCGAGTTCTGCAGCTCGCTATGGGACCCATACCGAACACGATGTACAGCGACATCTGTAAATGCATAAAAACATGCCAAGAATTGAATAAATATTGACACTTTTACAAAAACCTTTGCCTAATATTTTTCACATCAGAATTTATACAATTTCTCTTTAAAAACTCTGCAATGTACAACAAGCCATAACATAACATATAAGCTGGGAAATGTGTGCCATATAAGTAAAACAAAATGGAATATTGCTATGAATATGATGTAAATGCTTGCTTTTAGAGTAGATTTACGAAAAACCTCACAATGTAAATTCAAAAAATGTTTACAATATTGCAAAAACGACATATTTTTGCTGTAAAACAATGAATACTAGTACCTCACACTAGGAGTAGAACAGTTTAATTTTCGAATATGAAATACAGTATTATAATTTTTACATTACTTGAAATGTTCCTAATGGAGTTTCATACAATAAAATGCAAAATAAAAGTTTTGCCATTTTCCAGAAATGTTTTACTCCTGTCTCTCGAACAGTGATAGCAATTCTGTTTAAACATGAATAGCGTTTATAGCGATTACGAATACTACAAATAGAACTGATGTAATCATAAAACGCAATTTTGCACGTGAAACAGATTGCAAGTGGACATGTACAGATGATAACGTCAATTTCAATTCTAACTGTGTGTGTTACTCTATTATGTTATGAATCCCAAGGAAGTTTACTGACTTACCGAAACACTTTCTAAATTAGACGTGGGTTGGTGGTTTTGGTTTGTGTTGTGGTGATGGCAAACATTTTCTTTCATAGTTGGGGCATATTTTTTGTTTGTTCAGATTTGTTTTTTCACGTCCAGAAACTTAAAATAAAAGTAATACACACTGCAATTCCTGCTGGTAAGGGGCGGGGCGGGGGGGGGGGGTGCGATTCTTGGCTCCTCGTCCCGTTGTTGCACCCCCTATCGTTGAATGGTGCAGTCCAAACAAAATGGACGCTTGTTGACGATGTTTATGCGGAGAGATGGAGCCTAAATGTACGAAATCTAGAGGCCTTGTCGACTATGTTGGGATTTTAGCGGTATATATTAATCCTGCGTTTAGATTTCCTTCCATGACCGCATATACGTAAGTATTTTGTCTCTAATAGCCATAATGATGCATATTCTACTGAACACTGTATAGGAATAATGCAGACGACAAAACGTGACAGTGGTTTGCGTAGCGTAATTTTAAAGGTAAACCTGTATTCTGTAAAGTAGCTTAAAGATAACAGTATTTTTTCATACTGTCATACATTTACATTTCTCTTTTTGTTGTTGTTATGTTTCAAAGTTCCCGTTGATGCGCGAGTCGAGGGAAATATACTGACACCAAAAGAACTTTCCTTTTATATGTTACTTCAGTCAGAAAGTACTCAAAGACCTTATAAACAGCCAGTCTTGAGTTTAGTACCAAATAAAGCCGATTACGTTGTCAATCACGCTTATTATAAAAGAAAGATAGTAAATTTGGAAGAAAATTTCTAAACAATTTCTTCAGATATGTTAGTATATTTTCATTATCTTGTACATTATCTGTACTGTGGCTCACCTCAGGCTTTTTGCTAACACAGTAGCAATTTTGATATCAGCTATAAACCATTACAAAATGTTGTATGTCACAGTAAGATTTTTATTTTCTAAAACCAACATAGTGAAGGGAATATTTTCTTTGGTATATTTTGTAATGTGTATAGAGCAGTGTAGAATAACTGCTGATAAGGCCCCATTAGTTATTGAAATAAATCTGCTTTGTATCTTGCGACATACGGGGAGTACCACTACTGCACAGATTTTTGTATATGTACACCAGTCTTTCATATTTTGTGAATGAAATTATGAAAGGATTTATACACGGGGAATTAAGGTACAAAGACACAGCTAAGGGGGCTTTGAATATTTATTTTATTTGTCTGAAATATACAAAATGTTATTTTAATAAATACATTATATATATAATGTCTAATATATTTTTATGATAAGGTTATCATACTGCAAAATTGTTATTATTGATGAGCTATTAGTTTTGCTGTCATCTTGTTTACTGATTATTTATGAAAGTGAGCTCAAAATTTAATGAAAACACTTTGTAAAAGACTAATTTTCATGAGTCTGAAAACTGAGAAATTTTGAAGCTGTGAATACTTCTCTGAGGTCATACAAGAGAGTATCAGTGACTTGCGCGAAATTTTGTGTCCACAAATGTACTAAAGAACAAGTGAGAAATTTACATTTCACATGCTTGATGGCTCAATATTTGCGACAGTGCTGTAATTGCATGTTTTCTTGATGTTAGTTTGAAATGTGAAAAATTTCATTTTAACATTACTTCCCCATCCACTGACTAATCCAACATTTAATATTAAATTGTAACAAAATATTTGTTGGTGTGTGAATCAGTTTAAAAAATATTTAAAAAATATTTCATAAAAATTTAAATTTTTTTTTATCTTGGCACTTCATTGTACTTAGTTCCGTGGGTGAATTAAATTTGCATTTTTTTTATGTAAAACTGTTTGCAATTTTTTTTTTCTTCACTGTCCTTATGCATCAGTAATTCCTTCTTCCATTGACCTACATTTTTAGCCACAGCAGGAGTACCTCTATAATCTCTCTTGAGAATTTTATTGTTTAATTGGGATAAATTATTACCCCTGGAATTACATGTATGCTCATGCATAGGAAAATGTTAGTGCTATTCAGTTATCTGTAACATAATATATACTAAGCTAATGTGTGTTATGTTTAATCTTCCTAAGCATGTAAGCTTTGAAACAGCATGCATCCATCTATTTTTAGCGCAAACTTTTGTTGGTATGCTGAGCTGTTGGCATGGATGCTGGATCTGGTATATCTGTCTGCTGTCCATACATGATGAGATTTGATTTCTGACTTGTTTGTGTTTAGTGGAGTTTCATGTTGTACAAATTTAATTCCTGCTGTGTGGGATAAGGTGGGGGTTGGTTGGGGAGGGGGTTTGTGTGTCATAACAGCGTCTAAATCATTTACCATCATTTAATATCTTGGACTGAGATTTGATATATGTATATACAGTTTGAGAATTTGGAATTAATTGATGCATATTACCTATTTTCTGCAATTATGTCCCTTGTGTATCAATTTGCTGAAATAGGTTGATACTTTGTACATGCTGTGCATGCATTGTGTGTAACCTAATATATATTATATTTTCCATTTAATTTCTGCATATTAAATAGCAATAAGTGGACTACTTTCTATAATTCTAAATGTTAATTATGAGCTTTTATTAGAAGATACCACATTTACAATTGAGCTTTTCTAATATAATTCTGTTTCTGCAACATCACTCTTAGACTATTAATTCTGCTCAGGTGTAATTAAACAAGAATGAATAAAACAATTATTTAAATTATTATTGATTTTTATTTTGGTACCATAAGGGGGCACTTCAAAATTGCAACAGAGCAACTGAAATTGCGTAATTAAAAACTTGCCTTCAGTAACATGCTTCTCCAGTCAGTGTATCTTGAGCTTTGTTTCTGGGAAATATATTTAACATGCTGAAATAACATTTTGATATAGAATGATCCCAGACTGCAGAATCTTTTCACATTGTAGTACACATTCTTGTAATAATCTTAAATGAAGAAGAAGCATATTTATTGTTCATTATTTCTGTTTCAAATGTTTATCTTATTTCTTGTTTGAATTCAACTATTCATTCTTCTGATTTCAGTTTAACCACTAAATCCTAATAATTATTAACATTTCAGAGGCTTGATTTAAGTGAAGATGTAGCCGGAGCAACATTTATGGCTGCAGGAAGTTCTGCCCCTGAATTATTTACTTCAGTTATAGGTAAAGTTCATGTGTACATAGAGTTTAATAGCATTGTGACTGAATAACCTCAATAACATTAACACAATCTAGTTACAGTGTACCTAAGTAAATCAGTCATTTGTGTATTTTGAGGTATCACTCAAGGATTAATAATTTGTTCTTTAAAGCAACAAAAGAGCTGTTATTCATTTACCCCCCTGTGTGTAGATTATTTTATTTATCTTGAAAGGTGAGAGAATTGACCAAATGTGCAAGTCAAGAATGCCATTTCCTCAATTATATTACCTGTACATTTATGCTTTAAAGTATTTTTAAAATTGTTGTTATGAAGAGTTGAGTTATGTTTCGATGAATTATACATTGTGGAATACAGATTTTATGTATAGCACAAATGGGTTCAGCGTTTCCTGTGTAGGAGATTTTTTGAACTATTTTTCATGTTGCAGGCGTTTTTATTGCCAAAGGAGATGTGGGAGTAGGTACCATTGTTGGATCAGCCGTTTTCAATATGTTGGTCATTATTGGACTCTGCGGGTTGTTTGCTGGCCAGGTAATGTTATATTTCACGTACATGGAGTAGTGATACGCAGTGCTATAAGAGTAATAGATTTTAGAGGCCATTCATCTATATACATCAGTCTATGACAAGCTAATATGTATTGTGTGTCAATTATTCAATTGCCCAAGTTGTGATATTTTTGCTAAATATGATTTAGCAATATATACAATTATTTATAGTTATTAATATAGATTCTTAATTTGCTGAAAACTATATTTTTAGTTCTTCATATATTTTACATGACATTACAACCAGTTAATTTATGCTGTCATTTAAAATGGATATTAACACAGTCAATGAACTGAAACTGTATTTTTAGTATTCCAGATATTTGTAGTGAGTATCACTGCACATACATGACTATAGTCACGAAAGTAATCCCTATTTGGAAAAGGTGAACCTGCCTTTTGACAATATCAATTGTGTTTAATTTAAAAATGTTGACTATATTATTTTATGTGTTATTTTTATTCAAAATTCTAGTGTGATGACATAGCATATGACACTGTATTTGTGAAAACTCTCTTAAAATGGTGGAAAAGCAAAATTGTTTGGAAAGATGTATGATTTTAATTGTGACCCAAGTATAAAAAAGGGGTATTGTATGTAGAGGTCGTTTAGCCAATGCAAACAGCCTGAAGGTAAATTAATGCAATCAAAGAATCTTGCATGACGATGTGTTTATTCTCAACGGAATAGAATTGACTCTGTTGCCACAAAATTTCTTTTTAAATAATTTGGAAGAAGTGAAGTTGTTACACCTTGGAATTCAAAATTGAATTTAGACTCACTGGCCAAAATAAACACTCTGCAGTATTTGGCATTTTGTAATGCTGGTAATTAATCAATTTGTTATGATTTTCATGAATAATATTTAAAAAATCCACATCCAAATCTGAATTCTCATAACTGAAATCATTCTTTATCTGCTTTTGCATTTATTTGACTTGTGCCCCTGCATCCTGTGATGTAATGACTCGCTCCTAATTATGTTAGCATAACATGACATGACATCTGTATTGCATGCATAATTATTAAAATATGCTTGAATTTGTGCTGTAAAACTGTAAACACCTGAACATATTAAATTCAGTTCTATAACCCTGATGCCTTCACACCATTTTATATTGTCCATTTTTCATAATAAAACATTGTGAAATTCTTTAAAATCTTCCAGGTAATTGTATTGTAATTTATTTGTGCTCATTTTGCATACCAATTAACTATTTGTATCCAGTTTTGATTACAGCCTGATTTATGGATTAAAACATACAGTTGTATTGTCATGTTTACCTTGTCTGTATCATCGTAGATGAAGGTCGAGGTATACAAGGAGAAAATTCTCCTCACTGTTACTGACTCTTATGGTTACTATAACTTGAACAATTTTTATCCATTTCCTTTATATTACCCAGTTTGGCCAAGTTCAGTTTTGGTATGTGTTCTATGTATATTTTTATTAGATAAGGAATAATTTTACTGAAAATTGTATTTTTCTTGTGGTTATACAATAACTTAAACAATTTTTATTTGATCATCTCCATATTTGGAATCTTTATAATTCACTATGAAATCAAGTTCAATCAAGTTAATGTAGGTGTAACTAGAAAATGTAATTTCCAAGATATGGTGTAAAACTTGTTTTAGAAAAAACATTTGTTAGACTTGACTGTAGATGTTGTTAATATGCTTATTAATTAGATAAGTTTTCAAGCTAGTATTTTTATTAGCCCCTGGTTGGACACATCTATCTGTAAGTCCATCACATTATCTCAAAAGTTCATGGACCAATTCTCCCCAAAATGGTACATGGCAGATACATGATGGTGTCCATATGGCCAAGATTTTTTTCTTCTGTTCAGGTACAAAGTGGCCCAAAAATATTTGGCTTAAAAACCTGCGTTTTATACATGTAGAGCATTATCTCCAATTTGTTCTGGCCAATTTAGTTCAAATTTAGATAATGGGTAATTGCATACTGAGGCCCATTATTTTTTTTCAGATTTTTTGGTAATTGTGTTCCAGCACATCAAAAAAAGTTTAACTTTGATGTGATCCAATCCAAGAACAGTAAAAGAAAGCAGCCATTTGGTTTTACTTCTTACCAATATACACATTAGGATTCTTGCATTTTAAATTTTATTTCAGTTCAGTTCACAGCATAGACCTGATACATTCATTTGTACAAAAAGGAGCATATAAATACTGACATTTCATTTGTCATATATTGCAAGAACAGAGGGTGTGATGTTCTCAATGGCTTGTTTTGCTTATATATATATTACTGCACTATATTTTGGAACTTTTAAACAATTCACATTATGTTATTTTGTAAGGGACATTTTGATAAATATAGTAAATGTAGTATTAATTAAGGAACACATTAGCTAATATTTTTCTTGCCAAATTTTGTTTAGTTATGTTGCTGAACTTATTTTTATGAACTTTTATGCAATCCATGTTATATTATTCTATAAGGAACATTGAGAATAATACAGTGGATGTAGTATAATTTGAGGAACATGAATATTAATTAATTTTTTTATGAAATTATGATGACTTTTAGCTTTCATTTTCCTGGCAAATGCTTAGATAATATATTATTGCATCTTTTCAGGACTTTTATACCCACTTTTGCCATGCAAAGAAATCCATAGTTTGTTATCCATCCATACATTTATTTAATCAAGGTTCTCAACAGAGTTGTAAAACTTGCACTATGTTTTAGCTAACCATCATTTGTGTTATTTTTTTGATAGGTTGTTCCACTGAATTGGTGGCCTCTATTTCGTGATTCCATCATCTACTCACTTGCCGTGGTAGCACTTCTCTTAGTGCTTTATGATGGTACAGTTTCTTGGTATGTCATAAATGGTTTTGAAAACAAAAAAAATATCTATATACCAGGCCAGTAGTGTTTACCATGGTGCATGTTGATGTTACACAAATGACATTATTTTTAGTTGGTTTTCAATGCCGTAATGTGTTTCAATGAACATCCTCATCCAAGTCAAAATTGTACCTAACAATTTGTTGGCAGTACATTTTTGCTCATTATTTTCACTTAGTACCTAAGAGTGGCATCCTCTGTTCTCATTCTCATTTGAATAAACCCACACTTGGGAACTGTGAACACTCTTGGTTCTTTTATTTATTGAAACCTTATGGTATTTTATCAACTGTCCGTTATTTAAAAAATAAACATTTAAAATATGGTGAAAAATATTCAAGAATTGAGCATCTGTTAAACATGCATAATTAAGGGATGATAAAATATTGAAAGCATGGAGGGATTTTGTCCAGAACCCTTCTTGAGTTACCATTAAATCAAATGTTTCTTCTCCTTTGAAAATACTTCTATTGCTACAAAAGGAAATAATCACTAGATTGACTTGACATATTGTCAAAGGGCAAGTTGTTTGAACATTTTTTTTGTTCTTTTTGACAGGTGGGAGTCGCTCATCATGCTGTGCATGTATGGAGGTTACATCGTTATTATGAAGTAAGTGGACATCTTCTAAATTGACTTGGTTAAAATACATCCAAGCATGTTAAAACATAGGCATGGGAATCTGAATTTGATATTTACGCTTTATAGTGCGTCCATAGGGGTTTCCTTTGAAGGCAGCTGGGGGCTAAATTAGCTGTCTACTCTCATTCTTAATGGCACATTAGGTGCCTACTTTTTACCTTGCCCGTACCATCAAAGATGGAAGGGAAAGGTATATTAAGGGAAAAATTTTGTCCGACGTCGCCGTCGTCGTTAATAATTGTTATTGTGTGCATAATAACTTTACTAATTCTATTCCAAACTTTATCAAACTTGGTCACCTTATTCATCAGTATAAAGTCTTCCCTGAGTTTGAACAACAGATGTCCTGTATGAAAATATCATGCAAAAATTGAGAAAATATGATAAAATATTTTGACTGTTTCTACTTAACTGATCACTGGTGATACACATCAAAGGTCACTGATCTCAGTGGAAATATGCATTGTTGTATGTGTTCAATGAAGCAAATGATTTATCTTGTAATAATATCCTTGGTAATGTATCTCAGAATCCCATACTGGGTTTCAAAACCAACTCATGGAGAGATTGCACAGTCTGATACACATTTGCAAACCTACCAATAAAATCTTTACAGAAAACAAGATGTCAGAAAATC